TACTTAAAATCTTATCTTAGCAGTGTAGAAACCAGTATGTACTATACACAAATACTGTTAACTCCTCTACACAACCTGTTCTTGTTGGAGTCTCACAGGTTAGTGTTCTTGGCCCACTTCTCTTTCTCATTTCCCAAACACATCTAAACTCATTAAACCTGTTTTATTTACCGATGACACTACTTATGTCTTCTCTCACCCAAATCCAACTATATTATCACGCTGTAAATGATGAACTATTAAAAATATCTGCTTGGATGACTACCAACAAACTTACTCTCAATATAAACAAAACCTACTTCATGCTATGAACATTCCTCTCAAACTCTTTGATAATTACAACAGAACACACAGGCATAACACAAGCACAAATCACTCTTCGATATCTTGCGTGTCTGTCTCTCCCTGTGCAAATATGCAATGCACATACAGGGCCCAAAGATCCGGAATTCATTGCCAGAACACAGAAAGGACCCCTGCTGCCTGCAAATCAATTTAAGGCCCTACTTAGAAATCACCTCATCACACAAAATTAACCAGACAAACACTTTACTTAACAACCAATTACTCAAAAAAACTCCTAATAATTTATGACTGCTCAATTATTTGATCATTTACTTTAAACTTATAATTGTTTCAATTTCATTATTGCATATTGTGCCTGATGATTGCTCAACTATTTAATAATTACTTCAAACTTAAAATTGTTTCAATTTCATTGTTTTAAATTGTGCTAAATTGTAATACATACTGTATTTTTTTATGTACTATATCAAAACTATAATTCTTCTGTACCGAACTTATTAAAGCCATATAGCACAAATTAGTTGAATATTAAATTTTCTTGTATTCACTGTAACTCACCTAATGACCATATGTATCATTACGGTACTGTTATTGTCTTATTAATCTTAAGTTAGTCTTAAGTTTGCCCGAAATGCTCTGCATATAAAGGGGCTTTAGGCACGGTCACCAAATTGTTACACGCTTTTGTACAAACATGTACAGTGGAACCCCAGTTTTCGTCTGATCTGGTTATTGTACAATTCAGCTTTCGACCACCTTTTTTGGCGAAATTTTCCCCATTTTTGTACATTCGCTCAGAACTACACCTATCATCTGACTTACAACCGAGCTTGGTTCTGACTAACTGGTCATAAGTCAAAATGGACGTAAGTCGAACCTTACTATTGAATATCAGCAACACACTGTGTAATAATTTTATTTCATTGTTTTATTTTGGTATTTCATTTTTTACTTTACTTTTCATGCTGTTAGTACTCTATTTTATACTGTAAAGTTTAGGAGAAACACTGTGTACACCACAAATAGTTGTTTATTTCCCAGAACATCTGCATACAAAACATGGTCGTAAGTCAAGTGGTTGCATGTTGAGCAGATAGGTGTAGTCCGTACCAGACGCATCCGCCAGCCTTCAAAACGCGGCTGCTCATACGTTTGTGACTCAGTCTGCCTTTGTTACTTGGTGATGCATGCCTGTTGTGGAATCTGTTGTGTCTTTTGGGAGGTCCATGGGGTTGGAGGGGAGTGGCCAGGATGTGGAAGAGTCAGTGGACGACCACAGGGAAGAGCTAACCACTGAAGAGCTGCAAGACCTTCATCTGGAAGAACAACAGACCTTAGCTGAGGAAATTGCTTCAGAAGAAGAGGAAGAGAGAGGGGTGAATGTGCCTTCTTCAGCAATTAAGGACATTTGTGCAAAGTGGAGTGAAGTGCAAAGTTTTGTGGAGAAATATCACCCTAACAAAGCTGTTGCAAGCCGTGTCAGCAGTATGTTTAATGACAGTGTTGTGTCCCATTTTAGATAAATCTTAAGAGGTGCTAGAAACAGGCCTCTCTGGACAGATTTTTTTTTGCGGCAGGGGTCCAGTGACTCTCAAGCTGGTCCTAGTGCCAGTAAAAGACGAAGAAGGGAAGTAACCCCGGATAGGGCTTTGACACCTGAAGTCCTTATGGAGGGGGATTCCCCTTCCAAACAATAACCTCTACTCCTCCCTCTCCCATCCTCACTGCCTTCCACACACCAACAAGAGTCTTCAAGAAAGGTAAAAGTGATGTTAAATGTTCATTTATCCATTTCATTAGTCATTTATATTTATTTCTCATTATTTTCTGTATGTAAAACTATAGCTATTCTTTATAAAATGTATTTTTGTGAATATTTTTGGGTGTCTGGAATGGATTAATTGGATTTACATTATTTCTTATGGGAAATATTACTTCAGTTTTCGTACAAATCAGTTTTCGGCCGACCTGGAATGGATTGAAGACGAAAACCGGGGCTCCACTGTATCATGCTAAAATAAAATTGTTATTATTAAAAGAGGAATACTGCAGTAGGCCTGTTGGCCCATACTGGGCAGGTCCTTCACGAATCCAATCCAGTAATAGAATATTTTCCCAACCCATTTTCCATGATACCGAAGCAATAATCTTTGATAACTCTATTACTCATGTGCAAGTCCCACTCAAATCCAACCCCTCTCATTCATATATTTATCCAACCTAAATTTGAAACTGCCCAAGGTTTTAGTTTCAGTAACCCTACTAGGAAGACTATTCCAGTCGTCAACTACCCTATTTCGAAACCAATACTTTCCTATATCCTTTCTGAATCTAAACGTATCTAATTTGAATCCATTATTGCGGGTTCTCTCTTGGAGGGATATCCTCAAGACCTTATTTATATCCCCTTTATTAACACGTATCTTCCATTTATACACTTCAGTCATGTCTTCCCTCATTCTTCATCTTACAAGTGAATGCAATTTAACCCTTTGGCTGTTTTGGTCATATATATATGTCTTACGAGCCACCATTTTTGACGTATATATACTCATAAATTCTAGCGGCTTCAAATCAAGCAGGAGAAAGCTGTTAGGCTCACATGTGAGAGAATGGGTCTGTGTGGTCAGTGTGCACCATATAAAAAAATCCTGCAGTACACAGTGCATAATGAGAAAAAAAAAACTCCGACCGTTTTTTTTATTAACCCTTTCAGGGTCCGTCCCGTAGATCTACGGCTTTACGTTCAGGGTCCAAACCGTAGATCTACGCCATGAGCTCAGCTCACTCTGATAAACTGTGAGTGGTACATTTGGGCCTAGATATGAGAGAATACATCTATGTGGTATGTGTGCACCACATAAAACAGATCCTGCAGCACACTGTGTATAATGAGAGAAAAAAAATGAAATCATGATTTTTCGATTAAAACAGCAACTTTGCAGTGTTTTTTCGTATGTTTTTTATAGTTGTATTTGCGATTTCTTGGTCTCATTTGATAGAATGGAAGACATATTACAGAAATAGAGATGATTTTGATTGGGTTTAGCATTGGAAATGGCTTGAAACTGAGCTCAAAGTAGCGGAAATGTTAAATTTTTGCCGATATTCAAGAGTAAACAAACGACCTCACACGTCTAATACACGTCAGCTGGTGGGTCTAATATACATTCACAAATATGGTGATGATATTTATACAATTATTACAGTATTGCATAACAGTAAATCTTCTGTTTTGTGGTGTGAATAAAAATTCATTATGTGAATAAAAAATCAAAATGGAATTTATTTGTAAAGCCTCAAAACATAACTAATGAACAGATTAAATGTTAGTTTAGTGCCAGGAATGCCTACATTGTTCATTCTGGACCCTATTTTGAAATTGGAATATTTTGAACTTTGTGTTAAATTGGCCAAATTAACAATTTCCGATCACTTTATTTTGTAGTTGAAATAGTTGACTTGGCGATTTCTTGTGCTCAATCGATAGAATAGAAATAATACTAGTGAAATAGCTAAGAATTTGGTTGATTGGAATAATGTAATTGGCCTAAAATGGAGTCAAAGTCGGCAAAATCGCCGATTCGTAAATATCGCTGACACATCAAAATTCGTGTGAGCATAATTTCGTCAATTTTCCACCAAATTTCGTACTTTTTGTTTTATTACCTTCACAAAAAGATTCTCTACGATTTCATAAGAAAAAATAACAATTTTTTTTTTTGAAAATTCTTGGACACTGGTGCGTGACTCCAGATTTGGGCCTTGGACCCTGAAAGGGTTAAAATGCCGAAATTTGTGGTCTATTTTCATATAGTATTTATGGTTGTATTCTCGTTTTCTTGGTCTCATTTGATAGAATGGAAAACATATTATAGAAATAGAGGTGAATTTGATTGATTTTGCTATGAAAAGAACCTTGAAATGGAGCTCAAAGTAGGGGAAATGTTTGATTTTTGCCGATGTTCTAAAGTAAGCAAATGATGCCATTTTCCAATAAATGTCCAACTAGCCATTCTAATATGCAGTCATGAATGGGTTGACATTATTTATACAATTATTGCAATATTGCAGTAGTCTGCATAACAGTAAATCTTATATTTATTGTTTGAATAAAAATTCAAAATAGAAAGCAAGAGTAATATCAGAGGGGCCTGGAAACGTGACTGATGAAGAAAGAAAATGTTATTTTAGAGCGAGGAATGTCTGAATTGTTCATTCTGGACCCTATTTTGAAATTATCATATTAAATTTCGTGAAATTAGCCAAATTACAAATTTCTGGCCACGTTATTGGGTAGTTGAAATCGGTAAATGTGCAGTTTCTTGTATGCAATCGATAGAAAAAATGGAGTTCTAAAGAAATAGCTATGAGTTTGGTTGACTGGAACAATGGAATTAGCCAAAAATAGGGCTCAAAGTGGGCGAAATTGCCGATTCGTAAATATCGCTGAGGTCGCTAACTTTGCGAGAGCATAATTCCGTCAGTTTTCTATCAAATTTCGTTCTTTTGATGTCATTACAATCGGGAAAAGATTCTCTGTCATTTTATAAGAATTTTTTTTTTGGGGGGGGGGATTTTGCGACACCAGGAGACACCTCAGGATTTGGGGTTGCGACAGTCAAAGGGTTAAGTGACTTTAATCTGTCTTTATATGTCAATCTTTCTTAACACAGAAGATTTCTAATGCTGTGTATTAATTTTGTCATTCTTAGGTGAATGTTTCATAATGAATTTATATCCATTCTGTAATATGGAGGCCAGAACTGATCTACATAATATAGGTGAGTACTTACTAATGATGTATAAAGCTGTAGTATAACCACTGGAATTCTCTTGCTTAAACTTCTTGATATAAACCCCAGTAATCTGTTTGCCTTATTACATATGCTTAGGCATTGCTCAGGTGTTGAGTGTTTGAGATGTTAGGTGCTCAGGTGTTAAGTGTGTGAGATGTTAGGTGCTGAGGTGTTGAGTGTATGTGATGTTAAGTGGTCAGATATTAAGCACAGTAGGGCCCCTCTTTTCGGCATTTCGCCTTACGGTGTTCCGCTAATATGGCAATCTCAAATTATGACCAAAACTTTCTATACAGTGAGCTGTCTTTCAAATATGGCACCTGCCACCTGGTTGGTTTATATTCTCCATGAGCATATCTCTATTATGTAATACTTATCACTCTTGGACATATTAACCCATTCAGGGTTGAGAGGCCCTCTCCTAAACTCATTCTCAGGGTCGAAAATTTTTTGGAAAAAAAAATTATTTTTTCTTATGAAATGATAGAGAATCTTTTCTCGATCATAATGACACCAAAAGTATGAAATTTGATGGAAAACTTACGGAATTATGCTCTCGTGAAGTTAGCGGTCTCGACGATGTTTATGCATCGGCGATTTTGGCCACTTTGACCCCTATTTTCGGCCAATTTCAGTGTACTAGTCGACAAAAATCATATCTCTTTCGCTAGTTCCATTTTTTCTATCGAATGAGTACAAGAAACCACCCATTTACCGATTTCAAGTATCCAATAAAGTGGTCAGAAATTGGCAATTTTGCCATTTTCACACAAATTTCAGACGATGCCAATTTCCAAATAGGGCTCAGAATAAGCAAGACAGACATTCCTGGCACTAAAATAATATTTTCTTTGTTCATTAGTCACGTCCCCAGGCCCCTCTTACATCTCTTTTGCTTTCCACTTTGAATTTTTATTCTCACAAAAAATAGAAGATTTACTGTTATGCAGACTACTGCAGTAGGACCTCTGAAAATTGGGAATAGATAGCTGACGGATAATGAACTGGAAATGTGTTCCTTATTTAATAACTATTTTTCGTCAGTTTTTACACAGGAAGATGTAAATGAGATTCCAGTAATTAACAATTATTTAGTTCATGATGAATTTAAATTAACTAATATTACTGTCACGAGGGACATGGTTATTAACCCGTAAATGGTCCAAACGTATATATACGTTTTTTCAACATTTGAAAGTATGTAAAAAGAGTAGATCTTCTTTTTGTTTTTCTACATTTGAAAATGTGTAAAAAACTTTGATCTACTTTTTTTTTTGTTATATGTATTTGAAAATATGAAAAGAAACTTAGATCTACTTTTGTAGCACTTCACATGTGAACGTAGCTCTGCTTGGACCGTTTACGGGTTAAACAGATAGACAAACTGAAGCAAAATGAGTCCCCGGGACCCGATGAGTTGTTTTCCAGGGTACTTAAGGAATGCAAGATGGAGCTTAGTCAGCCATTAACGAGTGTATTTAATGCGTCCATCCTTACCGGTGTTGTGCCAGAGTTGTGGAAGATGGCTAATGTGGTTCCTATATTTAAATCAGGTGATAAGTCCGTTCCTTCAGATTACTGTCCAATAAGCCTGACATCTATAGTGGGCAAGTTATTAAAATCAATTATAGCTGACATTATTAGAAGTCACCTTGAAGAGCATAACTTGATAAATGAATCTCAGCATGGATTCACGAGAGGTCGTTCCTGCCTGACAAATTTACTGACGTTCTTCAATAGAACATTTGAGGCAGTTGACAGTGATAAGGAATATGACATTGTTTATTTGGATTTTAGTAAAGCCTTCGATAGAGTGCCTCACAAGAGACTCTTAAGAAAAGTGGCAGCTCATGGTATAGGAGGTAAAGTTCTAGCATGGATAGAGGCATGGCTTACCAATAGAAAGCAGAGAGTTACCATTAATGGAGTGAAATCTGAATGAGGATTAGTCACTAGTGGAGTTCCACAAGGATCAGTTTTAGGCCCTCTCTTGTTCATAATTTACATTTACGACCTTGATGAAGGGATTACGAGTGACATGAGTAAGTTTGCTGATGATACAAAGAGAGGCCGTATAATTCACTCTGAGGAGGATAGCAATGAACTCCAGGAGGATTTGGACAAATTAATGTCTTGGTCTACAAAATGGCAGATGAAGTTCAATGTTGATAAGTGTAAGGTACTAGCCCTTGGTAATGAAAATAACCCTCGAAGCTATAATCTAGGTGAAGTAGAGCTTGATCATACAGAATGTGAAAAGGACTTGGGAGTCATGGTGAGCAGAAATCTAAAGCCAAGACAGCAGTGCCTTAGTGTGTGCAACAAGGCCAACAGATTGCTTGGATTTATCTCAAGAAGTATAAGTAACAGAAGTCCAAAAGTTATTTTACAGCTGTATACATCACTAGTGAGGCCTCATTTAGATTATGCTGCTCAGTTTTGGTCCCCTTACTACAGGATGGATATAGACTCATTAGAGAACATACAGAGAAGAATGACTAAAATGATTTACTGTGTAAGGAACTTCCCGTATGAAGATAGACTTAAAGCCTTAAATCTCCACTCTCTGGAGAAGCATAGAATAAGGGGAAATAACATTGAAGTGTATAAGTGAATGACGGGCATAAACAAGGGAGATATTAATAAAGTACTGAGGGTGTCGAACCAGGTAAGAACCAGAAATAATGGATATAAGTTGGATAAATTTAGATTTAGAAAGGACATAGGTAAGTACTGGTTTTCTAACAGAGTTGTAGATGTGTGGAACAGTCTTCCCAGTGGGGTGATAGAGGCTAGGACCTTGGGTAGCTTTAAGAAGAGATTGGACAAATATATGAGTGGGAGGGGCTGGGTTTGATTGGTGTCATTGGGCACGGGAGTTATTTCTTGGGTAGCTTTAGGTAGAGGTTGTTAAATAATTCAGGTGCTATTTTTTTAGCTTAAGAGTATTTACTTTGTTTTATACTTAATTCTAACTATAGATTCACTACAAATCTTATGATTACAAGCATTGATCCTGATACCAACCTCTTATTTAATGACTTAAATGAATCAAACAGTTACTGTAATTACTACATTGCAGAACAATCAAAGGCACTTCTCAGAGCCAACAACAACATAACTATCTTTAACTACAATATCAGATCTTTAAGCAAGCATTATGATGACCTCATAGCATTACAAAATTTTCTTACATGCCAAATGTCCATCATTAAAACTAACTGAAACCTGGCTAAAGCGCGATAGTACAGATGTCTATGGCCATTCCGGGTTACACACCCAAAACACAACTGTAGGCCAGACCAACAAGGGGGTGGGACAGCCATATACTACTCAGACCAACTAGAATGTATCACTAATACTTTGCACAAGGGAATGAACATGGGGAATATAAAAATAGCTAAATTCAAATCCAAATACCTACAAAAAAACCCCTCACATGATAAAACATCTACAGAGTTCCACAGTCAAACATTAGCCAATTTAGTCAAAACCTAGGAAGTATGATAACTGATGCACGCATGAACAAAGATCACTTACTACTCTCAGGTGACTTCAATGTAAATCTCCTGCAAGACAGGACCCACACGTTACTGAATTCACAAACACAATGAGTAACTGTATATTGCTACCAACAGTAACAAAAACCTACAAGAGTTACAGAGACTAGTGTTTCCCTACTTGCCCCCATCTGGACCAACACCATATCCCCTTTAAAATCAGGCATAATTACAGATAATACCACAGACCACTACCCACTTTCCTCATAACAACTCTTGGTAAACTACCCCAAAACACTACTAAAGTCACCTTCAGACTTCACAATGAGGCAGCCATTAATAACTTCACAACAGCAGTAGCAAACATTGACTGGCACACTGAGTAAAACCTATACGATATTGACGAATGTATTAATAATTTTCTAAAAAAAGACCCAATACCTCTATAACAAGCACTGCCCTAAAAAAACTAAACAGATGACAGCTAAGAGACTAAACAGCCCTGGCTAAACCCAGCATTCTCAAATCCATAAATACAAAACACCAATATGAAAACAGTACAGAATGGGTCACATAACCAGAGACCAAACAAAACGTTACTCGTCAATCCTAACCAGCCCCGATAAGAAGGGCAAAAAAATTGTATTATGAGAACAGATTTTCCAACTTACGAGGTGATATAAAAAAGACCTGGAAAAACCCTATCAAAATTTTTGGGAACAAAAAAGATATCACGAAATAGCGAAATAAAATTAGCAAAATCAGATGAACCCCAACTCCCACCAACAGAAACAGCAAACAGACTCAATGATTCTTCTCCACTATAGGACAAACTTTGCCAATAAAAAACCCAAGCTCAGATACCCCACCAAATGACTACCTCACTGGCAACTACCCGAAACACACTGTTCCTAGCTCCGACTAACCCATACGAAGTCTCCCTTATTATCAACGCACTAAAAAACAAGGCAGGAGATTTAAATACCTTACCACCCTTTATATACAAAAAAGTGTCACAAGTGCTATCACCAATCATTGCAACACTCTTTAAAAAAATCCATTGAATCCTCCACCTTCCCTACAGTACCAAAATAGCAAGGGTCACCCGATCCACAAAGGAGGAGACCAAACCCGAGTTGAATAACTACAGGCCAATATCCAACTTAACACCCTCTCCAAAAATCTTCGAAAAATTAATTCATAAAAGAATCACTCCTACCTTATCTCCCAAAACATACTCAACCCTGCCAAATTTTGGGTTCAGGGCCCAATAAAAATACTAAAGATGCTATTATACACATGCTAGAACATATAACACTGCAATAGAGAAAAAAGAAGTCCCACTGGGGATCTTCATTGACTTACGTAAAGCTTTTGATACAGTTGACCATGACTTGCTCCACGTAAAATTGTCACATATGGTATAAGAGGGGACTCCCTCAACTACCTCAATCATACCTCACAACAGAAGCCAAATGTGTACGC